TTTTAAAATTAAATTATAAGATCAAATGACGATGTAGACTGTAGAATACGTCTACAAAGTAGACTTCTAAGAAGGTCTACAAATGTGTAGACTTCTCTCTATTATGTGTAGACTTGCAAAGGACAGAACCGTAAAATAACTGTCTGTTTTTTTGTTTGGTCACAAGGGTTAAGTAGTAACTTCATAACCCCTTTAGGTTAGTTTTGCATTTGACTCAATAAGGGGTACACCTTTAGGGTTGAAATGAAATTTTAGGTTGGTTTTGGCAAATCCCCCAATAATTTTAGTGGTACTACTACTAAGCTGATATGCACATACTATTCTTTCATATCAATATCAGTTATCACCATAATACTAAATATTTTTTTTATTTACAAATTAAATATTATATCATTACTATTTTTTAATTATCAATGTGAAAACCATACTAAATATCTCAATAAAAATACATAAGAAATTCAAAATTTAAATATAAATATGCATTTTAAAAATTTATACAAAACAATATATACATTATTTTATGATTGCATAAAAATATTTTAGCTCAATAATAAATAGAATAGCAAGTTCTAGGAAATTTTTATTTTAAAAATATATTAAATTAATCAATAATAATAAATGAAAAATGATTTCGATTTGAAAAAAATAAAACAACAAATTTATGTATTATCTTATTAAATAGATTTTTTAGATTAAATTAATAGTTGAAAGATTAATGAAATAATATTTTAGACAAAAACATAAAAATGAAGAAATAGAATCTATAAAAGCAACAAAAAAAATCTGATAAAATAAAAAGACTAACAGAAAGTTGCCGTGGAAACAAGAAAAAAGTGTTGCCGTGGAAGTCAGAAAGAAAATAAAAAAGGAAAAATAAATGTGGGACCCCCTGACGAATGAGGTAATCACATAAAAATGAATAAAAGAAAAAGTAAGAGGAATATAATGGATATTATAGTGATATACATATACTTTGCCAAAAAGGGGTATTATATATTAATCCGCATATACTTTTCAAACGTTCTATTCAAAGATAAAAGTACAATTTAAGAAAAAAATAGTGAGGAGGTCGGAAAACAAAAAATACAAAGACATTTTTATTGATAAATTGTTAAAAATACTTCAAATTAAGAATCACTTTTCTAAAATACTATCAATTAAAAATACTAATATTTAGGTTTAGACGTTAATGATTATTGTTTAGAATTTAGTATCGAGGGGTTGCGGTTAAATTTATAAATATTCTATAAATATTTAAAATATTATTTTAATATTATTTTATCACAAATTTATGTATGGTATTAGTGAAAATAATTATTCATTAATGATACATTTGAAAATTAGTATTAAATTTATGATATAATTAAAATTTCCCCCATTTTATTCTCAAAAAATTGATTCCCTACCAGTTCTCTTTAGCAGCCAAGTGTAATCTTATTTATTGGAGTATAAATTAGAGAGACTGAATAATTTTATCAATCATTCGTTCATCTAAAATATCTTATCAAAAGTCTTGTCTCTCTGACCCCCTAGCTTCTTAGAGGAGATGGTAATGAATGTGAGTTTCGAGGAGATAGAGACGAAGAAGAAGACATTAACTGGACTTGGACTGGGACAGATCCTCTCCCTTCTCTCTACTTGTGTCGTCTATTCTTCTTCTGAGCTCGCCAGAAAAGGTTAAAGCTTCTTTCCTTTTATAGTTTTTCTTGGCTTTGTTATACCATTTTTTAACCTTCTATGGCTTTATGTTTTGTTTGGTTTGTATAAAATCATCTTCCTTCCAGTAACAAACCCCAACAAAACAGAAAGCCGTAAACTTGAGGATGATTTAATACATAAAGCCACAAATGGAAAGATGATTTAATACATAAAACCATAAAAGGAAGAAGTTTATAATAAAGATGATTTCTTTTTGGACAAATAAAGATGATTTGTGTTTGGGTTGTTTTGTGTTTATTGTTGTAATAAAGTTGCTAAATATTATTTAAACTCAGAAAATGTATGAATTTAACATGATTACCAAAAAAAAAGTAAAATAATAAAGATGATTTTAAAGCTTTCTCCTTTTAAGGCTTTATGTATGTATTACCCAACAGCAGCAGCATCATGCTCTGTCTGAAACTGGAAGATGATTTTATACCTTCTTGAAAATTATATTTTTTTTTTAACTTTTAGGAGTTAATGCTCCAACAACACAATCATTCATCAGTTATATGCTACTAGCAATCGTCTATGGAGGTATCATGCTATATAGAAGACAAACAATTAAGGTCAGCCACTGAAGTTTCTAGCTTCACCTATATGTTTCTGTGGGTGTATTCAAGATTGCATCGATTAGCCTAACATCCTCAATGCACGAGAAAATTAATGTAGGGAAAGTGGTATCACTATTGTCTATTTGCTTTAGCTGATGTGGAGGCTAATTATCTTAGTGAGTCTTCTTATTTAAAACACCCTTCTTTTGTTTACTAATCATGTGGGTTTATTGTTGAGCTTAGAAATGTAATCACTTGCATCACATTTTTTTTTTTTTTTTGCAGTGGTGAAGGCAAATCAGTACACACCGATTACTAGTGTGATGCTACTGGACTGCTGGGCGATCCCTTGCGTTTTGGTACTGACTTTTGTTTTCCTGAAAACAAAATACAGTTTGATGAAGATTAGTGGTGTGGCTCTCTGTATCATTGGTGTTGTCATGGTAGTCTTTTCTGACGTTCACGCAGGATATCGGGCAGGTAACAATGGAAAAAGCTGTTTCGTTGCTTCTGTTTTTTTTTTACCATTGCAACTCAAAACATTCACTTAGCATTTCTACAAGAAACTGTTATTGTGGTGGTCTTTTTTCAGGAGGAAGTAATCCCGTTAAAGGAGATATTCTTGTGATAGCTGGAGCAACATTATACGCTGTCAGTAATACCACTGAGGTAAGCAAAATGATTTTGATTGGCCAATCAAAAGGGTACCTATTATAACAAGTATCATTCTTTCTTATGTTATAGGAGTTCTTTGTGAAGAATGCAAGCACTGTTGAGCTTATGACCTTCATGGGATTTTTCGGCGCCATTATTAGTGCCATTCAGATGTATCCTTTTTTTTTTTTAATGTTTCTTAGACTTGTATAAACATTCTTCATGAAGCTCCTTGACATTGTCCATAGAGGCATATTTGAACGTGGTGAGCTCAAAGGTATTGAGTGGTCAGCTGAGACTGTAAGTCTCTTTCACTTTCAGTCTCTACAAAACCTAAATCTTTTTCTTCTTTTTATCAGTACAAACTTTTATGCTTTCTACACTTTCAGGCTTTTCCTTTTCTTAGATTCACTGTCACAATGTTTCTCTCCTACTCACTACTCCCGGTTTTACTCAAGGTATGAAACAAAAAAAAATTGACAACAAAACATTATAGAAAAAAACGGTTTTACTCTGTTTCCATGTCTCGGAAAACAATAATACGAGATATGATCTCCTCAGAGCAATGGTTCAGCAATGTTCACCCTCTCGTTACTCACATCTGACATGTGGGCTGTTTTGATCCGCATTTTCGCTTACCATGAGAAGGTTAGCTCACTTTGTAACTCAAAACATACAGGAAACTTTCTTACACTTTCTGTCTCTAAAAGCCAATAGATGAGACTATGAGAGACCATTTGGGCATGTATATTAATTTCAGGTTGATTGGCTATACTACTTGGCATTTGGTACTACAGCTATTGGACTGATCATATACTCAATGTACAGTCTTGTTTGTCTCGTCTTTCTTTAACTATCTGTTCCACAAGCATGGCTTCGTCAAAATCAGTATGTTTTCTTGTTTTTTGGTGATATTCTCAGGAAGGAGAAAGATGAGGAGGAGCAAAAAGATGAGCAGAGAAAGCTGTTGGATGAGGAGGGTGGTGAAGAGATATAGCAATATTGACTCATTGGCTTGTGAATCTGTTGTGATATATAATTGGCAACTGTAAAGAGAAAACTGCCTTTATTTGATATTCACTAAATTGTAAAAAAAAAGAAAATACAAAATAAGATTTGGTGAGAATAAGATTGCAATATTATAGAACTTACTTTATATGTATAAACCTCTATATATTGCTAGGTTCCTTTATATTTATTCAACTAACATACTAGTACAAACTAACTGCTGAAAGAACACAAGTGTTAGAGCAAAGAACTCGTGTAACCACCAGACAGATCAGATCCACTAAAGATTGGCCCAGAACTTGTTAATAAAAGCCCAAGGCTATCACTGACACGTGTTGAGTTCTTACTAGATTACTATTAAAAATTCCATGGGTCTTTCTCCGAGAAAATGAGCATTTAATTCCCCAAATATTTGAAATCGGCAGTTTTAATACTCAAGTATTACTCGCGCATAATTATTCTCCAACTAATAGTTGACTGTGCGAAATTAAGAACGAAATAGTCAACCGTTAACTGGTTAACGGAAAGATAACGGTTTCCGTCAACCTTTTAACGGTTGACTATTTCGTTCCTAATTTCACACAGTCAACTATTAGTTGGGGAATAATTCTGCGCAATAAATACTTGAGTATTTAATCTGCCGACTGAAAATACTTGAGGAATTTAAAACATCAATATTTTTTTTAAAAAAATATATAACTTAAAAGATTTTCAAGTCAGATACAATCAATATACGAGATTTTTATTTTTTGAAAGAGATTTTTGAGGTTTTACAATAACATGTACAATAATAAAAACAGTTATAGTTGCAGTTTATTGTTCATGTACTTCATGTTTATAAAATCACATATGGATGATTTCATATCATTTACGGAATCATATGTTGTAAATTAGATCTCTACTTTAGACTAGAGATGGCAAAAAATATCGAACGAATGAAATCAAACCAACTGAACCGAAACCGCTACAAACCAAACTGAACCGAGTTAAACCGAACCGAGAAAACAATGTGCTTTTGTTATTATTTGAAAACTAAAGTCTCTATTAACTTTATAAAATATACTTAAATCATAACACTAACGATTAACTTCATTAACGTTTTTTTAAAAAAAAAAAATCTATTTACTTCAGTTAACTTTGGTTTGATTGTGTTCTTATAAAAAATGATGATTTTTTAGATATTTTTTTCAGTTTTATTGTACATGTCATTTTAAATTAATTATACTATAAAACTGAAAAAAAATATCTGAAAAAATCATCATTTTTTATAAGAACACAATCAAACCAAAGTTAATTAAAGTAAATAGATTTTTTTTTGAAAAAAAAGCGTTAATGAAGTTAATCGTTAGTGTTAGGATTTAAGTATATTTTATAAAGTTAATAGAGACTTTAGTTTTCAAATAATAACAAAAGCACATTTTTTTCTCGGTTTGGTTTAACTCGGTTCATTTTGATTTGGAGCGGTTTCAGTTCAGTTGGTTCGGTTTCATTCGGTTCGATATTTTTTGCCACCCCTAGTCTAAAGTAGAGATCTAATTTACAGCATATGATTCCGTAAATGATATGAAATCATCCATATGTGATTTTATAAACATGAAGTACATCAACAATAAACTGCAACTATAACTATTTGTATTATTGTACATGTTAATGTAAAAGCTCAAAAATCTCTTTCAAAAAGTAAATATCTCGTATATTGATTGTATCTGACTTGAAAATCTTTTAAGTTATATTTTTTTAAAAAAAAAAATATTGATGTTTTAAATTCCTCAAGTATTTTCAATCGGCAAATTAAATACTCAAGTATTTCTTGTGCAGAATTATTCCCCAACTAATAGTTGACTGTGTGAAATTAGGAACGAAATAGTCAACCGTTAAAAGGTTGACGGAAACCGTTATCTTTCCGTTAACCAGTTAACGGTTGACTATTTCGTTCCTAATTTCGCGCAGTCAACTAGTAGTTTGGGAATAATTCTGCGCAAGTAATCTATACTATTAAATGTAAAGACTTCTTTGAAAAATCGACTGATGAAAATGGTGTGCACCCTTCATTAATGGCATTTTGGTAATTTATTTTCGTCTTACATCTATATATATATATCAAATGTAACAAATCATATCATATTAACCATATATCCGATTTAATATATCGTTTTCCATTAATTACTCTAACCATTAATTATTCTCTTTTTTCTCATTAATTATTCTCTCTGTTCCCATTAATTACTCTAACTATATTTCATACTATATTTCATACATTTATTGATTTCCAACATTATACTACACGATTTGGTATATGCATCATATATGGACTTTATAACCACATTCCATACTATATTTCATAAATTTATATTGTATTATACACCTTATACTAGGATAAGACCCGCGCCTTACGCGGGATGAAGTTATTGTTTTTATTATGTTTTGGAAAATGAAACAAAAGTTCAGTTTCATCTAGATTAAGGATGTTCAATCTGGATATCGGGTTTCAGTATTTTGGTTATTAAAATATAACTACTATTCTAAATCCATATTTACTTCAATTTGATTTGGTTTATATATTGGTATTCAGTTTATTCAATTTTATACCAAAATACATCATTATTTAGTTTGAAATCATATTAATATATTATAAAATAAATAATATGATCATATTTAGAGTCATACTGTCAAAAAGTCATTTACTAAAAAAAATATTTTATATTTAACTAAAAGAATAAAAAACAAAACAAAAAGGCTTCTATGATCTAATAAAATAATCAAATCTAGAATTAATATCAAATCTCGAAATTCTGAAAATAAAAATAAAAACAAAACAGAAGCATGAAAGAAAAGTTTTTATATTCTTCCATATTTAGTGTTCATAAAATTAATATGTCTTCGATTGAACACAACTCTGTTTGTTTAAAGATTATAAAAATTGTAAAGAATGTCAACTAATTGTATTCCATCAAATTTATAATTTTTACTTCAATTTAGTTTTTATTATAAAAAAAGAAAAATAGATAAAAAAAGACGAAGAAAATAAGAAGCCTCAGTTGTATTAAATTGTTAGTTAATTATATTTCAAGTGATTCAAGTGATTTAAAAATCATAATTATAGTTTAACTCATGTAACAAATAGATATACATATTTACATGTTTCAGTTTAATCGGTTACATAGGGGATTACATATATTCAAATGTTTCTCAATTAATATATAGGGGATTACATGATTTCAATCTATAGATTTTCAGCATTATACTTTTATGGTTGACTTTTTTGATATATAAATCATATATACACTTTATAACCATATTCCAAACTATATTTCATACATTTACCCATATATATAAACCATACTATATTTCATACATTTATACTGTGTTATAGACCTTATATTACACGATTTCAATATATAGATTTCCAACATTATACTTTTGTTGGTTGACATTTTTTGGTATATGCATCATACATGGACTTTATAAACTTTCATTTCATTTATATTGTGTTATAGACCTTCATTTTCATGTTTTTCTTCATATATGAAATATGTTTTCATGTCTCACTAAATCTACATGTATTTATATACCATAGTTAGACGATATATAGTGATATCAACCAAAAAGATATATCATCACTCTCATGTTGACATTTAAAGGACGAGATACGTTTTGTTAAGAAAATATTACAAATACGGTTTTCTATAATTATCTTCCTACTAAAATAAAGAAATTACTTTACCTACAAGTTATAGATTAACCACAATCAATATCGTAGATTCCATAAATTTCGGTAACTTACCGTAGTTGTATTACCATTAACTGTTAAACTTTAAACTTCCTAACTAATTCAAAATCTTCAAGAAATATTCCTTATTCCTTAAAAGAGATATTTTAAAAACTCGTGTGAAATATTCTCCTCTACATTAGCGTAACCTCATTGTATATCGTCCCTACCTACTATAAATATAGCATTTCTTAACCATTATATTTATCATCCCTTCAAAAACCTAAAACAGAAATGGCGAATAATTTGCAGTTGTCTTTCTTGAGCGATATAAAACCAAGGAAGACTGCTGTCGCATCCAAGTCAAAATCCTTTATATGTGGAGACATTTCATGAAAGACTAAGGGAGTCCATGGAACCAATCCTTTGTGATGCAAATGTAAATTTATCATTTTGTATGGATTTTTGATTTAGATATCTTCATTTCGTTAAAGTTTAACCTAAATGATAATGTTTTATGTTTATATAGGGAAGTAAGATCCATGCCTCATGTAACAAGACATACATTCCTCGATTGGCAAAAGAAATTACTCAAATTCTTATGATTTATTTTTGGTTATAAGTGAGGTCCAAATCTCAAATTCTTATGACGTAAGTCAGATGCTTGTTAATCCTGAAATACCAGAGACATATGAATTTAAACAACGGTATGTATCTTCTTCAACAAAAATGTTTTCACTTTATAATAGTATAAACTAAATTATAAAACTTATTTATAATCGCAGAGGTAATGATGATTCTCGAGCGTTAACCCTGGCAGAATCAAAACCGCAGAGGTAATGATGATTCTCCATTGATCTGTTTTAGGATTATGGTTGTTTAGAAGTAATGTTTTTAGTTATGTTTTGACAATCACGTGATGATGATTCTTGAGCGTTAATCTTGGCTGAATCAAAATCGCGTTTTGTTTTCACCAAATTTTCATTTTAAATAATATTTGCTTTTTTCTTGACGATTTATTGACTGATTTATTTATAGGAAAAATACACAGTGTTGCATAAAACAGATCAATATACTGTGATATAATAAACGAAAATCGATTTATACTATATTTGCTGCATATTGAAACAGAAAATAAGATACTTGGAATAACAAATCTCATTTGTTACTCTAGAATCTTGCAATATTTAAATTCTTCCTTATATACTTAGAGTTATATTTGACTCTCATATTATTTTTGAGTTACCTTTGACTCTCATAAATTAATTTAATATTTTATTTTATGGTCAACAAAAAAAATACCCGCCCTTCTTAAGCGCGGATCAAAATTGAATATTATTTTTATTGTTCAAAAATTA